GCGCAGCCCGGCCCTGCCGGTGACGCACCCGGGCCTGCCAGGCCACCTCCTGCAGTCTCTCGCCTCCGTCGCCCCCTCCCAGTGCCCTTCTCGTTTCCTTTTTCCACCACCCCCACCTCACTGCTTTTCTTGAGTTCTTCACCCCCTCGCTTTCTAAAATTGATACCTACTGTAAATTTTATGTTCTGTGTGTCTCGAAATGAAACGGCCAGCTTCTAAGCACTTGGTGATTGGAAAATGTGCCAACTCTCCCTTCTACATTTTTTTTCCTTCACCGAGACCTGTAGACAGCCCAGTTCCTGGTCTTTGTGTGTGTGCGCCCCTAAGTGTTAAGGGAAATGGATACCTGTCTTGTGGCCTCAGAGCTGCTTCTCGGGAGGTTGCCCTTGGGCTCCAGATGCAGCCCAGCGATGCATCAACGAGCGTCAGGAGGGGAGGCACAGTTACAGCCGTTGGGAGAGTACTCTGTGACCCCGCACATTTGGCTCTCAATAGGAGAGATCGGGCCTGAGAGCAGCAGCCAGAACCCAGAAGCGGAGCCGTGGGGCGCGCTCAGGTGTCACAAGGCACCTCCTGGGCTGGCTGCAGTTGGAGGCCACATCTTTGCAGGATGAGGCCAGTGCTAGCTGGGAGCCATGGGGAAGATGAATATAAATTCCATCTAGTTGGTGTCACAGCCACCAGAGAAGAGAGATTGGCTGCACCAGAAGCTTCTGGCTCACTGTCACCCAGGCCTGCTGACAGCTGTTTAGCAAGAAGCAGTTAACAATCAGAGCAGTTAAGAACTGTCAGCCCACCTGACAATGCAAGAAAATGGTGCTACTTTAACCCCACTTTAGAGATAGCAAAACGGAGGCACAGAGAAATTAGTTCACTTGCCTGAGGTCACTGGGCTAGTGAGTGACAGAGCAAGGATGTGGGCCTAGGCCATTTTCTCCAGAACCTACACAGTTAACACCCGAGGGAATCAACCTCAAAAAATAATGATGCAGCAGTTGCTGGGTGGCAGGGACTCCTGTGCAGGACTGGGGGTGCATTAGGGCGCATATCAGAAACACCCTGTTCTCACAGAGGTTACCACTGGCAGGAATGACAGATACTACGAAAATCGTGGCACAAGGCAATGCGTTGTCTTAAATCGGGTGTCTGCTAAGGAGGAGCATAATGGAGTAGCAGGAGAAGGGACTGAAGGCAGAAGTCAGCTGAGGAGACCGAATGGGGCGGCGCTGGTCAGAGAGGCCTCTCAGATGCTGAGATACTTAGGCTGCGTTCTGCCAGAGAAGCAGAGCCACGGAGGCAGAGTGAGAAAGAACTTTCTAGACAGAGGGAGCAGCGTGGCCCGGACGTGGGAATGAGCTAAAACCTGTGAGAAGCCACAGGGCTCCCGCAGGCTGAGCAGGGCGTGAGGGAGGCCCGGCCGGATGACGCTGTCGCTGTCAGGTTTGCCGCGCCTCTGTGGCCTTGCACAGTGCCTTGGGCTTCATCCCAGGATCTGTGCCCAACCACCACGAAGGTGTTTTAAGTAGGGAAGTAGCTGAATTGGATTTGCAGTATGAAAAACATCCTGAAGTGCCTCTGTTCGCTTGCTTGCTTGTTTTTGTTTTTTGAGACAGGGTCTCGCTGTGTAGCCTGAGCTGTCCTTGAACTTGTGGCAATCATCTTGCCTTGGTCTCCTGTAAGTAGATTACAGGTGTGTGCCACCATGCCCAACACAGCACTTTTCAAGTGTCAACCTGCCTGTGTTGCTAGGGCTCCCCTGGCCTAGACAGACTATTCTCAAGCCCAGATTCAAAAGCGATTGTGAGGGAGAAATAACACCTGTTGATGGGGGAAGCTGCAAAAATATTGCCTCTGTGTTTTCTAAACTTATCTCATGAATTCAGAAGGATGAGCTGGAGTTTGTCTCCCTCTAATATTGGGAAGAACTGAAAGCTGAGAGGAAATTCGGTGCCAGCTTTGTGATTAGGATGCACTCGTTTCCACTCTTGGACCAAATTTTTTACTTTTTGCTTAGAACAAGCAGGGATTTGAGCATCTGATTTGGACATACATCAGAAGAGGGTCTAGAATGAGGTGGATGTGGTAGAGCAAGGTTTCCTCTTCTCACTGGATTATTTGTAAATGTCTTGGAGCCCAGGGAGAACTTTAAGATTGTTACCCTGTAATGAACTTGGGTGCATATGGAACTCAGTGTGCCTAAGAGTTCTCTAGGCAAGGAAAGCAAGAGCATGTGCAAAAGCCCTGAGGCAAGTAGTGTGAGAATTTTTTGAGAAACAGAAGTGGAGCAATTTAGTTTAGTGTAGTTGCCAAGGCAATGAGGACCAATTGGACAGATTGGGAAAAGGTTTAAGAGGTAGAAATAAAGAGTCCTGCTGATGGATTAGATATAGGAATTGAACGTAAGGACAGGTTTGAGATGACCCCTACAATGGTGACACCATTTACCTAAGGTAGACCAGGATAGGGTCAAAGTATTTAGGGTTAAAGGGGCAGGAAGAGCCAAGTGTAGTAGCATATACCTGTAATGCCAGCACTCAGGAGGCTGAGGCAGGAGGGTCATTATGAGTTCAAGGGCAGCCTGAACTGCACAGTGGGACATTGTCTCAAAAAGGGCGGGGGATGAAGAAATCAAGCCTTCCACACTTAACTCATTGTATTTGACTTCTCTGTGAATAGACAGTACTGTGTGTTCAGAGTGTCTTCCACGTGACATGAGGTTGGAAGATCAGTCGAGGTCACTGAGAAAGAAAGGGTAAAGACATAAGACAGACAAGGTCCGAGCTGAAACCCTGGGCTGCTCCAACATTTAGAAATCAGAAAAAGGAGGCAGTTTAGAAGAAGGAGATGAGTGTGATCTCAGGGAGCCGAGAGTCAGGACATTTCAGGGGGAGGAAGAAGTAATCTGGTGAGTCACATGCTGCTGTCTGTGAAGAAAGGGCCACGCCTGAGAGAGGGAAATGGACCTGCTGAGAGCAGGCAGTGGGGTGGCTGCACAGTCAGGGTGCGTGGTGCGTGTTAGGAAACGGAGCATTGGTAAGTAGTTCTCCCTCACATTCAAGGACTGGGCTTCAAGTCTTGGGCTTCAAGACAGTGGGCTACTGTCAGGTCGCATTTTCACTGCACAAGATTTCCACAGAGAGAGAGCAAGGTGCGAGGGCTTTACAAGGCCGTGACTGCGAAGCGGGACGGGAGAGGAGGGAGCCGTGGAAAAAGAGCGCGTGGAGTGCAGTGGGGAGAGGCGAGGACCAGGGGAATGACTTCCCTCTTGGAGGTGGGCCAGCAGCAGCACCTGCTGTGCACTCTGTAGAAATGCAGACTGTCAGGCCCCAGCCCAGACCCCTGAATCTGCAAGGGCTCATTTGTGGGTGGACAGATATGCGCCGGATACGCACAGAGGCAGGTTGTCTTGGTGGGTCGGGGACACGATGCTCTTCTGGGCAAAAGGAGAAGATAAAGAGCCCTAAAGTGTAATTCATCTTCACATCTTTATATTCTGACCTTTTCAAAACAGATGTTGGTTTTGCCAAAGTCTGTCCCCTCCCCCACCCTACCCTTTGTTTCTGTTTTTTTTTTTTTAACTATGCAAAATTTCAAACCTACATAAATATAGAATACTGTAGCAAAGCCTAGTATATCCTCCTTAGCTTTGGTAATTTTCAGCTCATATCCTTTTCTCTGTACTGTTGTCATCTCTCCTACCCTCCAGGCTCATTTTGAATCAAGTCTTTGACATGATGTAATTTCATATATA